TTGACTTCCTCTCTTTCCATTCTCTTGAGGAAGGCTTGCATTGCTATAAATTTCCCTCTTAGGACTGCCTTTGTGGTATCCCAGAGGTTCTGATAGTTGTGTCTTCATTATTGTTTTGTTCCAAAAATTTGGTAATTCCCTTCTTAATCTCATCTATGACCCAGCTATCATTCAGTGTGAGGTTATTAGTTTCCATGTTTTTGTATGCATATGCAGATTCCTGTTGTTACTGAGTTCAACTTTTATTCCATTATGGTCTAAGAAAATACAAGGAATGATTTCTATTCTTTTAAATTTGCTGAAGTTAGACTTGTGACCTAAGATGTGGTCAATTTTGGAGAATGATCCATGGGCTGATAAGAAGAATGTATATTCAGTTTTGTTAGGATGAAATGTTCTGTAGGTGTCTGTTAGATGCAAATGTTGAATGGTTAGGTTTAAGTCTAAAATCTCTTTGCTCAACTTCTTTTTGGAGGATCTATCCAATACTGCCAAAGGAGTGTTAAAATCTCTGACAGTTATGGTGCTGAAGGAAATCAAGTTACTAATGTATGTTAGAGTCTGTCTTATAAATTGAGGCGCATTCTGGTTAGGTGCATAAATGTTGACAATTGAAATCTCATCATGTTGAGTGTTGCCCTTAACAAATATGAAATGGCCATCCTTATCCTTCCTTGCATTGGTTGGTTTAAAGCCTATTGTATCTCTGAATAAAATTGCAACACCTGCTTTTTTCTGACTTCCATTTGCCTGAATTATAGATGACCATCCCTTCACCCTGAGTCTATGTTTATCTTTTAAGGTAAGGTGAGATCCTTGAATGCAGCAGATGTCTGGCCTGAGTTTTGTATCCAGTCAGCCAACCTGTGTGTCTTTAGAGGACAATTTAAGCCATTCACATTAATTGAGAGTATTGATAAACCAGATAGTATTGTGGGTATTGCATTTTTTGAAAGTCCAGCAGATGTTTTTAATCCTTTCACCACTGTTTAAGTTGGAATTTGATCAAAAGTTTCTGAGTGAGTTTATTTTGGTGGTGGAGGATTGTGTTGTCCATTAATGGAGGATAGGTCTGAGGATATCCTTGAGAGCTGGTTTAGTTATGGCAAATTTCATCAACATGTGAATGTCATTAAAGTATTTAAATTTCTCTATCATAGATGAAACTCAGTTTAGCTGGATACAGGATCCTGGGTTGAAAGTTATTTTGTTTAAGGAGATTAAAGGTTGATCACCATCCTCTTCTAGCTTGAAAGTTTCAGCAGAGAGATCTGCAGTCATTCTAATGTTCTTCCCCCTTGTAGGTTATGGTTTTCTTACATCTCGCAGCTTGCCGAATTTTCTCCTTCATATTTACTTTGGTGAAGCTAATTATATTGTGTCTATGAGAATTTTTATTTGGGTTGAGTCATGCCGGTGTTCTGAAACTGTCTGCTAACTGGATTTTGGAATCTTTTGGCATGTCTGGAAAATTCTCTTTGATTATTTCATGAAGTAAAGCTTCTGTATCCTTCACAGCAACCTCATCACCTTCAGGTATTCCTGTAAGGCAAATATTAGATCTCTTTGAATTATCCAAGAGCTCTCTGAGAGAATGATCGGTTTTTATTCTCTACTTTTTTTCCTCATTGAGTGTTTGGGAGTGTCCAAAAGCTTTGTCTTCAGTGTCAGAGATCCTTTCTTCTGCTTGTTCCATTCTGTTACTGAGGGATTCTACTGTATTTCTCAGATCTTTGAGGGCTGCAAGTTCTTGCCTCAGTGTGTCAAAATCTTTGGTGATTTTTGTCTTTGAAATCATTGAATTCTTGAGTCATCTTTTGAATAATTCCTTGAAATTCTAATTCCCTCCTATCCTCCATTCTGTTGATCTTATTTACTATCCAGATTCTGAACTCTATTTCTGATATCTCAGCTATTTGTTTATGAATGGGATCTTGTGCTGTATCTACCATATCATTCCTTGGGGGGGGGGGTTGATCTACTCTGATTATTCATGTTGCCAGAGTTTTCCACTGATTCCACCCCATGATTGTTTTTCACTGGTGGTTAGATGGGCAGGTAAGGTGAAATTGGATTGGGAGTTCCTAGGGTTGTGGTTAACCAGACCTTTGTCAAGGATCTGGGACTGATGGCTATAGCTTTTTCCCTATAGCTTTGCAAAGGACCCATGTAGTATTACAGTCTGAAGCTGAGGAAACCTGTTACGTGTGGTGGGATAAGATGGCTCTGTCTTATATTTAGCTGGTTCTTGTCCAATCCTAGTGGATCAGTGACTCTGGTGAAGTCTTAGCTGACGTTTGCTTTCTTGGGGTCGCAGCTTGCCTCAGCAGAGATGACCTGCAGATATCACTCTTCTCTCTCAGCTCAGCTCCCAGTCTTCAGCTTAATTAGGTACTTTCTGGACATATCCTTCCCTCTGGACAGGAGCTTCTGTCAGAGGCTGGCTCCAGTCGGCCATCTTGTCTCTCCCCCCAAGTCACTTAAGAATTAGTGACTTCTGTTATTTAGCTGTGAGAGAGTGTTGTTTGCTCTATAGTATTTTTTGACTGTTCTCACAGAACTTTATATAAGAGATAATAAATAAGTGATCTGTTGTTATTTTCATGTCCTTGAAATAACATCCAGGACAATTTGGATTGCTGTAGTGGTATAGTTTATAAGAGATTTGGAAGTAAGGGTTAAAAATATCATCAAAGGAGCTCAAAATCTGATGGAAGTTGATTTCTGAAATTGCTTTATTTCATCTTAAGTTCAGAATTGTCCTCAAAGCATCTGGCTTTAAATTTGTAAATGCCCTTGTAAGGATTTTGCTAGCTGTCATTCAGGAGTAGAGATCACTTAGACCTCATTAATAGACAATATTCCCCCTGAAAATGACATGGTATCCACTGTAATCCTAGAGTGTTTTAATAGCCTATTCTATGTTCAGCAATGAAACATTTCAAAAGTGACTGACAGCCAATTGATGTAATTCATGGTGATCTTTTGTGTTGACAGATCTCTAAAAAGTCATGGGAAATTACTACTGTACTCAGTGAAGCCGCCTCCTTTTTTTTCTTTAACTGCCAATATCCTGCAAAACAGGACAATTTTCTCTTTGACTGCCACTGTTTTTTATTTCAATAACATGACACGATTCCTCCTTATTATTAGGATTTCTTTTGATAGAATGTGTTCCCTATAGGTAATGCTAATTTTAAAACGGAAAATTTTTCAGTTCTCCAAATTAACCCTCTTAATTTTCTGACTTCCACATCAAGACAGCCTTGCCAGTATCCACATTATTACTCAGGAAGAAGAATGACTTAATTTAGACAATTTAAATGTTTTAAAATGGGCTTGGCACCCATAGCACAGTGTGTTAGGGTGCCAGCCACATACACCGAGGCTGGCAGGTTCGAACCTGGACTGGGCCAGCTAAGCAACAAAGACAACTGCAACAGAAAAATAGCCGGACATTGTGGCAGGTGCCTGTGGTCCCAGCTACTTATGAGGCTGAGACAAGAGAATTGCTTCAAGAGTTTGAGGTTGCTATGAGGTGTGATGCCACAGCACTCTACCAAGGGTGACATAGTGAGACTGCCTTAAAAAAAAGAAAAAGTTTTAAAATGATTTTAGTTCTCTTCTGAAGGAGAAAATTATAAAAGCAGAAGGGTGATGAGTTGCTTGTTTTTGTATTTTTTCCTAGGGCACTCTAAAGTTAAAATGTTGATGTTTTCAGCAATTTTATAGGAGATAATTATTGTGTATCCAAAACCCAAAGTCTCCAAATTGAAACTGTGGAATGATGGAAACAGGCTACTGATGAATATGAAACTGTGTAATGACTTGTGGGGTACAATACAGAGATCTAATCCCAGTGTTGCTCTAACTTTTCATCTAACACAATATTTGTAACTGTATCTCTGGGTCTTTGTCCTTTGTCATTGTGTTTCATATTGTGGAGGAGGTTAAGAACATACTTTCTGTTTATAGTCTTATTTCTATTTTTGCTTAATATTCCATAGCATGATGCAATGATTCTTTCTGAAGTATAACTTCAACCTTTAAACTTGTTTTGAAATATCATTGTAAACACATGTTGTAGCTCCCTTCATTGTCAGTTCCAATTTCTCCTCTGTGTCATCTATTCACTCTCCACCTGGTTATCCACCTGGATATCCATGTCCTCATCACCTGAATAGTGTAGATTCGATCCAATTGGTAATTTTTCATCCTGCACCACTCTCCCTCCTCTCAGTCTCCACTATTTATTATGTCATTCTGTATCAGCATACATATCCATTGCTTAGCTCCCACTTATGAGTGAGAACATGCAACATTTGGGTTTTTGTTCCTGGCTTACTTCACTTGGGATAATGGCCTCCATTTCCATCCAAGGACCATAGAATATTTAATCCTCACAGTAACTATGTGGGTTAGATATTGTTATTAACATTTTACAGATCAAGCAATAGACTTATAAGACTTAAGATACTTTATCAAGATACATTATTTGGATCTTGGTGAGTGGTTTAAGTTTTTGATTTTTGTGACTTTGCCCAGGTTCTTTCTTTCATAAATTAATGTATTTTGTTAATAAGCTATAGTCTATTCTAATATTTCTTTGTTCATCATGCCTAATTTTGAAACTTCTGGTTGCCATTTCAGTTATTCTTGTTCTTTTAGTGGAAGTTCATTTAATTCATTTGGCAATTATTTGCAGACACTCTGCTAAGCAGTAGCAGTTTTTCTTAGGCTAGTCTTTTTTAAACAGAAGAACGTGTTTAAAATAGTGACAAGTGCTTCTGTAATAAGGGGAAGTTCAAAGTGTTTGGGATGCTAGGAAAATTTCTTGAAGGAAGTAACAGGCAAGCCCATGCTTTGACATACCTGTTGCAGAATGTGGATGGCATTTGCCATCATATCTTTTGCTTGCCTTATACCAGCAGATTTATATAGAGCCATTAACACTATGGTGAATAGTGAAATGACTTTTATATGTGCTTGTTATTTTCTAGCTTGTCCAAATTATTATCAATACAACACACTTGGAGAAATCCTGTAAGTACTTGGAAGAATTCATCACCAATATCACTAATGTGCTTCCAGAGACAGTTCACACTACCAAGCTCTATGGCACCACAACTTTTAAGGTGAGAGTCTCCACGGTACTGTGGAACTGCTTCTGGTGTTCCAGGTATTCTGCTGTAAATGGCTTTGTTTCTGCAGGATGATTTATAAAATGTTCTTGAGAATAAGTACTTAAGATGATTTTGTTTCCTTTCTCTATTGTTTTTAGAGAAATAAATGCTAGTAGTAGTTTTGGGGCATTTAAACTAAAAAACACAAACAAACAAGTAGGCATGTGGTGGCTCATGCCTGTAATCCTAGCACTGTGGATGGCTGAGGTGGGTGGATCCTCTGAACTCAGAAGTTAAGAGACCAGGCTGAGCAAGAATAAGACCCTGTCTCTATTAAAAAAAAGAAAAATTAGCCAGTGTGGTGGTAGGAGCCTATAGTCCCAGTTATTTGGGAGGCTGAGGCAAGAGGATTGCTTGAGCCCCAACAGTTTGAGGTTGCTGTGAGCCAAGGTGCCCAACCTTTACCCAGGATGACAGAGTGAGAAACTGTCTCTGTCAGGTTCCACCCCTGGGGCAGGGTCTGCTAAGACCTGTGGAACTGGTGGCGACCACTGAAGAAATACAAAGTTAGGAACAATGGCAAGGAAAGGAGATATGAGGGACAGAATAGAATTAAAGATGGGAACTCAGGGGTCATTGCCCATTTGTGAGATTCCAGCAATGGCCCAGAGTGTTTGTTCTACTCTGCTTTTATTGAAGTCTGTTTGCCCAGAGGGTAAGATGAGGGAGGGAACAAAGATGCCAGCAGTTTCTCTGAGTGAGCATATCTGCTCCTATTATTATTTAAGGGTGTGAGTAGCCTTGAGAAATCTGAAATCTGAGCCTTGTATTGGGAGAGCCTCCCGAGATCACGCACACAGATTTCTAGGGTGGTGTTAAACTCCACTAGTTCCCTGTGAGTAAAACACCACTGGTGTTAATCTCCTTTGAGGAATTGGTTGGGAGGGAGGAATTTTCCTTTCATCACCGCCACAGAGGATCTTCCTCTGCTATAAGGGATATAAGCTCTTCTGTCCATATCTCAGGGCTGGACATACTCCCTTGATCTCTGCCCCAGGCAAATGTAAATCTCCACAATGGGTATCTGCTTTGCCTGTTTACTAGGCAGGAAACAACCCAGTTAATGTATCTTTCTAGGTCTTTGCCATAATCTCTTCTATGGCCATTTTTCTGCAGAGTGTTCACAGACCCTGCAGGATGTTTGTCAGCTGTATCCCCAACAGCTAGAATTTCAGAAGAGGCAGGAAGCTTGTTAGCAATGGCTAGCTTAAATGTAAACTAGCTGACTTTTCTTTGTTCTGACTTACTCAGCTTACTTTTTAATTTTGCTTTTTCTGGAGGTGCTTTCCTTTGCCTGGAATGGGGTCTTAAGTGCCCATTCTTCCTGTAGTCTCGAAACAAACAAACCAAAAAACAACCGTGTCCTCTGTTTCTTATATTTTGTACATAAAAATCATTATTTCTGAAGTTGATCCTCATTTCAATCAAGTGTTCTTAAGTATGATCTAGGCATTCTTATTATGGCTGACACCAGTATTAATTAGAATTTTCTACTTTGCTATCCCTTCCTCTCTTTATCACTGACCAATTTGTTTGTCTTACTTTTTAGTGAAGAATTTCTGTCTCTTGCTATTATAGTTAGCAATTTTATGATAATTTCAGAAGATTGCAGCTTTAGTTTTGATCTATAGTGTTGGATTGAATAGATAAAAATGCCATTCTTGTATATACAACGGGTTGATATTAGATGAGTTTTTGGAGAGTATGAGCCTTAATAAACTTAAACTTTAAATTGCCATGTAAGCTTTAAGTATGTAAGCAGAAAAACAGGGCAACATCTCAATCTTTATAAAGATACAGCTAACTTATATGGTTTGAGTTTTCGTTATATCATTGTTTTCATTTTGAAACATACTCTATTATGTTTCAAAAATCAGAAATTGATGTTAATTAAATATTCAGTTGGAGAATTGAAACCAAAATTTATATCCTCTGGTGTCTACTTTTCCCCAGCCTTTTACCTTCTTTCTATTTTTTGGTATTTTCTTTTGAGAGTAGTTACTAGAGAAGAAACTCAATTTGATTCATACTGCTATTATATTTGAGAGTTAACAATTATTGATATGACTTAACTATCTTTCTGTTATAAGAAAAAATAACTGTATAATGTTGTACCACAAAATATTCTTTATGTGCCCATGTGAGGTCAGCTGCTAAGGTGAGTTATACATTCATTAAGTGACCATAGATTATTTATTTCAAATTACCAATAAAGTTGCTTAAAACAAAACTTATTATGGAACATGGTATGCTTATATCATAACTTCCAAATTTCTCAATAATGTGTAATTATGTTACTATTGAGGCTCTTTTAGTGAAGAAAAGAATTATATAATAAAGAGGCCCTGAGAATGAGCACAAAAATGTAAAAAGAGCTTTAAGTGCTTCCGAATGACTTTAGGAATTTTAAGAGGAATTATTATAATTACTCCTAAATACTAGAATTATTATGGAGCATGGAAAATATCTTTATCAAGAAATATTTCTAATGTCTTTTATAAAAGCCAAAATTTCTTCAGTAAAGAAATGTGGAAGGGACTATAGTTCAGCACTGAGTAGATAATAGGGAGTTAGAGAATTAGAATGTGAGGTTCATTTATTCTTGTCTTCATATACTATGTCATATCCACTGATAGTCTTTCCTTAAACCCATCTCAATTTTTTAATTTCAATGGCCTCTCAATTTATGTTCAGAAATACTCTCAAAGGATGGCTTGTGTATTTTGTTGTTACTATAGCATGAAAAATGCTGAGGGAAAATTAAGACAGACAGGAAGCCATAGGTTAAATGGCCAGTTAAATACCTAACAAAGGAGAAGTTCTGGAGACCACTAAAGGTTATGTTGACAGTGCTTATTGGAAACACTGATTGCCTAAAACACATTGAAAGTTTATTTTTACCATGACTGTTTCAGGCTAACTAACTCAGAATTCAATATTAACATGGCAATTACAAGAGCTACATATTGTGTATTTTCTTAAGCTACTGTTTTCAGAAAACTTTTCCTTGCAGATGGAAACCTTTATGCTGGAAAAGGGGCAAAATGAATCAAAAGTTCTTCAAGGTATTTTCTTGCAGAGTTTCCTCTTATTTCTGCCATAGGTGACATATTAAACTGGCATTCTTAGATTTCCCAATTTGTAAGACTTTCCTGACTTCCTTACAAAAGAGAATGAAGGTGTTTATGAATTTACTCCATCACAGTTATTGCTTATGTATCTACTATGTAATGTATCTAAGATTCTGGCAGCTTTTTGGGGAGAGACAAAGTATTCGGTCCCTGTACTTGGAGTTTATGATCTACACGGAAAACAGACACTGGACTAGAATAATACATTAAATATATTCAATTGCTCACTTATTTAACAAGTTTTTATAAAGCGTATTAGGCAATGTGGTAGGCATGAAAAAAATAAATGAGTCTCCTGACTTTACTGAGCTTATATTCTAATGAATTGATAGGTAATAAACAAACAGAAAAATCCAATATTAATGTCAGGTAGTGGTAAGAACTAGGATAAAAGTAAATAACCCAAATGAAATGAGAAATTAAATCATTTGGATTTCTGTTAGATACACATTCAAAGGGAGCAGCAGTACAGTTGTAAGTACTTACATGTTCAAGGAATAGCATGGGAATCAGTCTGGCAATGATTTACCTGTCTCTGGTGGTGGTGGGGTGATAAGGGATGAGCTAGTCAGAAGTCAGATGATTTCTGGCCTTGTAGGCCATAATAATAAGTACTTTAATTTTTTTTGAAAGGGAATGTGAAGTCATCAGAGGATTGAAGGTCATGGGGATAATCTGATTTATGCCTTAGTGGGTAACAGTGATTTTTGTGTGGAAAATAAATACACGCTGTAAGTCAGTAAAAGTGTATGAGGAAAGTCCAATTGGAAGGCTGTTATATAGTAGCCTAGGTTAGAAATAATGGTCACTTTGACTAGAGTAGTAGAGGTAGAAAGGTTTTTGAAGATCTAGATAAAGCAGGTCTTACTGCTGGGTTGAGTATGAGAAGAAGAGGATTCAAGGACAAGTCCAAGACTTTTGAATGAGAAAACTGACTGTATGTGGTGCTATTTACTGAGATGGGAAAAATGAGAGAATAATATGTTTCAGGGAGTTGGAGTAGAATCAGGAGTTCTATTTTTTATGTATTAAGCTTGAGATATTTAATTGTCATCTTCAGAGATATTAAATTGACAGGGCAGAATTGTAGGAGATAAAAATTTGGAATTCATCAGTGTAAATGTGGTATTTAATGCCCAGATTGGTTTTCTTCTGAGTATCAGTAGAGAAAAGGTGTGAGGACAGAGCTTGCTGGTTACATCTATCAATTTTGTCATGCTTGAGCAAGTTCTATAAGTTGCCCATAATCCCACCCAATATTGTTCTTTGTAGGTTTTCTCCCACCTACCCCCACCTCCTCCCACCTGCTTAATTTCCACTGAATTTTACTTCTCTCTGTGCAAGTGTGCTCATAGGTTAGTTCCACTTTAGGAGTGAGTAAATGTAGTGTTTATTTTCCATTATTTACATATTTAACTTAGGGTGAAAGTCTCCAGTTGCATCCAAAGTTTTGCAAATGACCCTACGTTATCCTTTTTCATGGTGGTGTAGTAATTCCAAAGTCTACATATACCATGTGTTGTTAATCCACTTATGAATTGATGAGCACTTAGGTTGAATCCATATCTCTGCAGTTGTAAATTGTGCTACAGTAAACATTCAAGTGCAACTGTCTTTTTGATAAAATGTCTTCTTTGTCTCTGGATAAATAACCAGAAGTAGGATTTCTGGATAAAATGGTAGGTCTGTCTACCTTTAGTTCTTTGAGGAATCTCCATACTGTTTGCCATAGAGGTTGTACTAATTTGGAGTCCCACCAACAATGCATGCATAAGCATTCCTTTCTTTCTGCATCCCAAACAGCATCTATTGTTTTTGCAC